GTGGACAGGCTTAGAGGAGTCAGGAGGTGGGGTATTCACTACAGTATTCTTAGCCTCTGACCTGCTCTTGTAGCCGCATGTTTGTGATGAGTCCAATTGAGCTCTGGCCAATGATATCTCCCAAGATGTTCGTAGTGAGGGATTCAGTGATGATAACACCATTCAATGTCAAGGGCGGTAGTTCGATTGTCTCTTATTGGTGATGGTCATAGCCTGGCATTTGTGTGACGTGAATATTACTTGCCATTGTTGGACCAAGCCTGGATATTGTCCAGATCTTGTTACATTTGGACATGGACTGCTTCAGTATCTGAGGAGTTGCAAATGGTGCTGAACATTGTGCAATCATTGGCAAACATCCCCAGTCCTGACCTTGTGATGGAGGGAATGTCATTGATGAAGCAGCTGAAGATGGTTGGACCTAGGACACGATCCTGAAGAACACCTGCAGAGATATCCTGGAGCTGAGATGACTGACCTCCAACAACCACAGTCATCTTCCTATGTGTCAGGTATGACTGTATTCACTGGAGAGTTTGCCTCTGATACCCATTGATTCATGTTTTGCTAGGGCTATCACTTTCACCTTAACTCTAGAATTCAGCCCTTTTGTCCCTGTTTGAACCAGGGCCAGTAATGAAGCCAAGAGCTGAGTAGCCCTGGAGGAACTCAAACTGGGCGTCACTAAGCAGGTTATTGCTGAGCAGGTGCTGCTTGACAGCACTGTTGATGGCAGCTTCCATCACTTTACTCATGATCAAGAGTAGACTGATGGGGTGGTTATTGGCTGGGTTGGATTTGTCCTGCTTGTTGTGTACAGGATATATGTTGGCAATTTTCTACATTGTTGGGTAGATGTCAGTGTTGTAACTATACTGGAAGAGCAGCAAGTTCTGGAGGACAAGCCTTCAGTATGATTGTCAGAATGTTGTCAGGGCCCATAGCTTTTGCAGTATCCAGTGTCTCCAACCATTTCTTGATATCAAGAGTGAATTGAATTGGCTGAAGGCTGACACTTGTAATCCTGGGAGCTATTGGAGGAAGCCAAGATGGATCACCCACTCAGCACTTCTGGCTGAACATTGCTGTGAAAGCTTCGGTCTTCCCATTTGCACTAATGTGAGTACAACAGGACCTTGATCAGATGGGCCAATGGGCTGAGGAGTGGCAGATGGAGTTTAATTTAGATAAATGTGAGGTGTTGCATTTTGGTAAGCCACACCAGGGCAGGTCTTACACAGTTAATGGTAGGACTCTGGGAAGTGTTGTTGAACAAAGAGACCTAAGAGTGCAGGTACATAGTTCTTTGAAAGTGGAGTTGCAGGTAGACAGGGTGGCGAAGAAGGCATGCTTGCCTTCATTGGTCAGAACATTGAGTATAGGAGTTGGGATGTCTTGTTGTAGCCATACAGGACATTTGTGAAGTCGCTCTTAGAATACTGCGTACAATTCTGGTCGCCATTATTTTGAAAGAATGTTGTTAAACTTGAGAGGGTGCAGAAAAGATTGACAAGGATGTTGATGAGACTGGACAGTTTGAGCTATAGGGAGAGGCTGAATAATCTGGAACTTTTTTCCCTGGAGCATCAAAGGCTGAGGGGGAGCATTTAGACATTTAGAAAATCATGACAGGCATGGATAGGGTGAATAGCCAGGGTCTTTTTTCCTTGGAAGGCATGTTTAAAACTAGAGGGCATAGGTTTAAGGTTACAAGGGAAATATATGAAAGGACCTGAGGGGTAACTTTTTCATGCAGAGGGTGGTGCGTGTATGGAATGAGCTACCAGAGGAAGTGGTGGAGGCAGGTGCAGTTACTAAATTTAAAAGACTTGTGGATGGATATATGAATAAGAAGGTTTAGACGGATATGGGTCAAAAGCTGGCAAATGGGACTAGGTCAGATTGGGATGGCTGGTCAGCACAGGGAGTTGGACCAAAGGGTCTGTTGCTGTGCCGAATGACTATAAATTAGAGGTGCATGTAATGAGCATAAGACAAAAATATGGGAAGCTTTAATTTTCATGAAGATGGACCAAACTAAGTTGGCAGATGTAACTTGAAGAGCAGTTTCATGGTGTTCATTCTAAACAATTTTCTAGAGCAATACAGAATGCCCTTCCTTAGAATTTCAGGAACATAACTCAACTTTATCAGCTTTAAGTGAAGCATGATTTCCCACAGGAGTCAATGTTAAAGTCAGAGTTAAGTTACTGAAGATAATTATTGCTTTGAAAGATCAATGCACTAGTTGAAATAATGTTATCGTGCACGTGCTACACTGTGCATTCCTAGCTGAACTAATTTGCCTCCATATGGTGGTTCGTTACAGTGTTTCTCAGAGATGCGGCCTGCAAAGCGGAAATTAATAAGGCTGTCTTTTTAGAATGTCCATGCACTGTTATACTATCATCTGAATGTTGTTGGCCCAGAAACAATTCCCCATAGAAGATCATTTTGGGGATTCTGTTGGTATCTGTGTGGCTGATATGGCCTGCCCACCGAAGTTGAATTTTCTGTAGGGTGATTCCCATGGTGTTGAACCTAGTACTAATGAAGGGTCTAGGCCCGAAACGTCAGCCTTTCTGCTCCTATCATGCTGCTTGGCCTGCTGTGTTCATCCAGCTCTGCACCTTGTTGTCACTGTAAAGGACCTGTTTGTTTGAGATTTTGATCTACCAGCAAATTCTCATGTTGACATTCTGGTGTCTTGATGGAAGCATCCAAAACATTGATAGGGTGCCTATAGCAGAACCAGATTTAATGCCATATAGCAAAGTGGTAAGTATAATGGCCTGGTTGATTTTAGCCTCAGTTTAACGCCGTGCTGTTCTAAGCATGGTCACGGAATTGACATTTTATAGGCAGAAGCAAAAACAGAAGTTGCTGGAAAAGTTCAGCAGGTCTGGCAGCATCTGTGAAGAAAAATCAGAGTTAACGTTTCGAGTCCGGTGACCCTTCAATTGGGAAGTTGAATGGCCTTTATTGTAAGGGATTAAGAGACTTGGAGTGTAAGAATAATGAAATCTGAGGCTCTACCTGAGACCACAGTTGGAATAATCTTTGCCATTTTGCTTTTCTAACTAGAGAGAGCCTAGTTTCTGGTTGTCTTGGACATCCTTGCCACTAAATCAAGACCTTGATCCTCCAAGCCCATGTGGTAGATGGTGTACAATGGTCCTCTTCATCAAAAGAATTTATATGTAGGCAACGTCCACTCCTCAGAATGAAATTTGAAACGTAAACCAACACCCATAGACTGAAACTGCTATTTTTGCCCGGAAACTGAGAAGTTTAGACATGGCATCACCCTAAGTAAGACACAACAATCAGGGGAAAGCCAGATCAAGAAATGAGATGGCTGTTACACCTTAATCCAGCAGAGTAAATCAAAAGAAGAGAATCACCCACACAGGATGGGCTTCACACTGAAAAAACAAGTCGGTCATCCCAGAGACTCACCTTGTGAGATAAAGAAACTCCTCATGGTTCTTCAGCTTACCCTTGCCCAGAACTTCTGCACTACATTCCTCAACAGTGGATGCTATGGACTCGTCCAAAGAAGAATTTTCGACGTCGAACAGCCCCTGACCCGAGTCCAAATATATGACAAGCTGATCCTCCCATCAACTTTAGTGACATCGTCGGGAAGACCTCTGGGGAGATGTAATTGCAAAGAGTGAATAGGGAAATTCAACAACAACAGTACCCTGCTCCTTACAAAACATTAAGCGCACACATTTACCAGATCCACACCTTGTTTTGTCTTTTTCCTCACCAGCATGTGGAAATTGGGAGTATTTCCAAGATTACTGTTTTAGAGTTCCTGTGTTTCAATCTCCTACCTAGCTCCCTAAAATCTGCTTTTATTCAGGACCTCATCCTCATTCCTACTCAAGTCATTTGCACCAATGTAGATCACAACCTCTGACTGAACGCCCTGCCCTAGAAGAATGCCCTGAGTTGCTCCATAACATCTTTTTACCATCGCAGCACAGAGGCAGCATGCCGTTTTGGAATCACATCAATAGCTGCATCAGACTGTGGAATCTGCTTTCAGTATTGCTGTTCTGTACTACTTCTGAATATGAGGCTTCTATTCCTGCTTCCTGAAAACAATTGACTCAAGCTTCAAAAAAACTGGTTTAGTCAGCCACTAATTAACTAGCTACATCTTTAGTCTGAGCCTATTATCCCTGATTTAAGGCAACAATAAACTCACTTCATTTAACTTAAAGAGTAAAGTTTAGTTAATTGCTAAATTTAAGTCAAAAATTAGATGTTTGATAAAAGTTACCTCTTAAAATGCTCACTCACCAGCTGCCTGTGCAAACCTACTTAAAGAATAAAACTCTTGAGCATTAGAGGAGCAGTAACTGCACTTTTTCTGCTCCATCAAGATTGTCTTGCTGTAACTCGGGAGTAGACTGGTGATTTTAGAAAAGAGGCTAACTTACTCTCTGTCTGGAAATAAACCAAAGAGATAGCAGCAGAGCAGATGTGGTTAGCTGCTATCACTGCACTGTTTTCACTTTCATTTATGATGAGGTGTATTCTGTATTCATTGAAGAAACATTCCTGACCTATTTCTTAGGAGGAGTAAACGGATTTCTGTTTAAATGAAATCCTCCTGGAACATAAAAATGGGTTTAAAGCTTTGCCGTTTAGATATTTGGGGATCTGTTTGCAATATATGTACTTACGTTTAGAATCCTTCATAACAAATAAAGATCTGAACAACCAAATAGAAACTTGTTTAAAATTAAGAGATGTTGATTTTCTTAATTCCTTGAATGTAAGAAAAATACTAATTTGAGTGCAGTAAATAAATGACATGCAATTATATATACAGCACTGATTTATTGGGTTAGTTGCTATGCTAAATTTATAGACATAGGAAATATAAACAGAAGCATTGGAATGGTAGGACTGTAAATTTGGAAAATATGTCACATGAATATTAACAGTTGCTCTCAAAGCAATATTGAAAAGCACTTTGCATAATGTTGAACACTGAAATCAAAAATAAATGTTGTTTCTCTTCTCGTTGCTTCAGATATGGTGTGAAAAAGAAACCCATCTACGTAAATGTCATTCGAGATCCAATTGAGCGACTAGTATCATACTATTATTTTCTGCGCTTTGGTGATGACTATAGGCCTGGTCTAAAGAGAAGAAAACAGGGAGATAAAAAGGTAATGTGCACACTGCAAAGGTGGTTGGAATAACATTTAAAATCTAAATAGCCAGGACAACATAACAAAATGCGAGAGCTACTTGACCTTTTTTGAGAGTTGATTTTAGGACCGTAATAATTTGCTTTGTTATTTGGCTGTAAATTGACACAACACTCATTCCAGTCTTCTGGATGAAGCACTTTTGTAATTTTATAACTAGACATAAGGGTAGGACAGACTTAATAGTATCCAATGTTTTGTTTTGCCAAGCTATCATTGGTGTTCACCCTGAAAAGTGCTTCTGCATTGTTTGATTGAGCTGTATAGACTGCAGATAACTTTTGCAGCATTTCAACACAGATGGTATTAATTATGTAACTGGTTATGATTCCAAGTAGCGATGATTATAAAGTAATCTTTCCATTATCTGTTAAATAGAGTCATACAGCACGGAAACAGCCCATTTGGTTGACCCAGCCCATGCTGACCATAATCCCAAACTAAACTAGACCCACCTACGTACGCTTGGCACATATTTTTCCAAACATTTCTTATTCATGTATTTATCCAAATGTCTTTTAAATGTTGTAACAGTACTCACATCCAACACTTCTTCTGGAAGTTTCACAAACAAATCACTTTCTGTGTAAAAAAAAAAATTGCCCCTCATACCTTTTTTAAATCTTTCTCTTCTCACATTAAAAATATGTCCCCTAGTCTTGAAATACCCCACCCTAGGGAAAACACACTTGCCATTCACCTTATCTATACCCCTCATGATTTTATAAACCTCAATAAGGTCACCCCTTAACCTCCTAGTGAAAAAGTCCTTGTCCATCCAGCCTCTCCTTATAACTCAAACCCTCCATTACCGGCAGCGTCCTGGTAAGTCTCTGAACCCTCTCCAGCTTACCGGAATATCCTTCCTATAACAGGGTGACCAGAACTGGACACACTACTCCAGAAGACACCACACCAACGTCCTGTACGACCTCAACATAAAATCCCAACTCCTATGCTCAGGTGTCTGAGCTAAATGCCTTCTTCACCATCCTATCTACATATCACACAAACTTCAAAGAATTATGTACCTGAACGACTCGGTCTCTCTGTTCTACAACACTACCCAAGACCCTACTTTTAATTGTATAAGTCCTGTTCTTGTTTGTTTTACCAAAATGCAATACCTCGCATGTATCCAAATTAAATTATATCTGCTGCTTCTCAGCCTATTGACCCAATTGATCAAGATCTCTTTGTAATCTTAGATAACCGTCTTTACTATCCACTATACTACCAATTTTGGTATCATCCAAACTTACTAACCATGCCTTCTATATTCTCATCCCAATCATTTCTATAAATGACAAACAAAAGTGGATCCAGGACCGATCCCTGTGGAAAAAAATTAAGTCTGTGTGACATGACTTCCCTTGCACAAAGCCATGTTGACCATCCCTAAACATTCCTTGCCCCTCCAAATGCATTTAAGTTCTTTCTTTCAGAATCACCTCCAACAGCTTACTCACCACCGAAGGCCGACTCACAGGTCTGCAGTTTCCAGGCTTCTCCTTACATCCCTCCTTCAACAAAGGCAGAATGTTAGCCACTCACCAGTCATCTGGCACTTCACCCATAGTTATAGATAGCACAAACGTTTCTGCAAGAGTCCCTGCAATTTTCTCCCTAACTTCTCACAACAACCTGAGATACACTGGATATAAATGATTTGGATGTGAATATAGGAGGAATGGTGTGCAGGTGACACCAAAATTGGTGGTGTAGGGGACAGTGAAGAAGGTTATCTTAGAGTACAAAGGGACCTTGATCAGATGAGGGAATGGGCCAAGGAGTGGCAGATGGAATTTATTTTAGATAAATATAAAGTGTTGCATTTTGGTAAGGTAAATCAGGGCAGGACTTGTACACTTAATGGTAGGGTCCTGGGGAGTATCACCAAGCAAAGAGACTTTGGGGTGCAGATTCATAGTTCCTTGAAGATGGTCAGGGTAGTTTGGTACACTTGCCTTTATTGGTCAGTGCATTGAGTATAGGAGTTGGGATGTCAAATTGCGGCTGTACAGATCATTAGTTAGGCCACTTATGAAATACTGCATTCAATTGGGGTCTCCCTGTTATAAGACAGATTTGTTAAACTGGAAAGGCTGCAGAAAAGATTTACAAGGATGTTGCTGCAGTTGGAGGGTTTGAGCTATAGGGAGAGGCTGAATAGGCAGGGGATATTTTCCTTGGAGCAATGCAAACTGAGGGGTGACCTCATAGAAGTTTATAAAATCACGAGGGGCATGGATAGGGTGAATAGCCAAGGTCTTTTTCCCAGGGCAGGGGCGTCCAAAACTAAAGGGCATAGGTTTAAGATAAGACGGGAAAGATTTAAAAGTGTCCTAAGGGGCAACATTTTCATGCAGAGGTGGTTCATGTATGGAATGAGCTGCCAGAGGAACTGGTAGAGGCTGGTTCAATTACAACATTTAAAGGCATATGGATGGGTATATGAATAGGAAGGGGCTAGATGCATATAGGTGAAATACTGGCAAGTGGGACTAGATTAACTTAGGATATCTGATCGGCTTGGACGAGTTGGACCAAAGGGTCTGTTTCCGTGCTGTACAACTCTATGAGATCGGATCCCAGAGATCTTTCCACCTTTATAATTTTTAAGACATCCAGCACTGCCTCTTCTTAATGTGAACTGTTTTCAAATCAATATTTATTTCCCTGAGTTCTCTAGACTCCGTTTCTTTCTGCACAGCAAAAAAACTGATGCAAAATATTCATTTACTATCTCTCCCATCTCCTGAGATTGAGAGTCTGACTTCAGTTGTGGGCAAATTGTTGGAGATGATTATACAAAATAGGATTTATGGGCTTTTAGAGAGGCACAAATTGATTAGGGATAGTCAGGGTGGTTTTGTGCGAGGAAAATCGCGTCTCTCAAACTTGACTGAGTTTTTTGAGGAAGTTACCAAAAAGATTGATGGTGGCAGAACAGTAGTCATTGTTTATCTGGATTTTAGTAAAGCCTTTAACAAGGTTCTGTGTGGTAGACTAATTAGTAAAGTTAGGTCACATGGGATTCAGGATGAGCTTGCTAATTGGCTTAATGGCTTGAGACAGAGTAACGGTGCTGGGTTAACAAAGTGTAGAGCTGGATGAGCACAGCAGGCCAAGCAGCATCAGAGGAGCAGGAAAGCTGATGTTTCGGGCCTAGACCCTTCTT